AAGATTAATATATTCCTAGTTTGACTGAATCTATGGCTTGATCTAGCTATAAAGTACTAATAAATTCAGATTTTGCCTGTGAAATAGCTTCTGCTCCTTTGAATATGCAAGCAGACGTCAAAGTGCAATATGCCAACAGGGCAGGAAATTTCTGGCCATGGCCACTGTGCTGCCTGTCTGCATAATGAGTCTGAGAAAGTTGTTCTGTCAGTCGAACTGTGACCACCCACTGACAGTTTTCCTTCAAAAGGGGTACTGACTGAGAGGATTTCTTTTCTCTTTATGTGTATGTAATCAATCCTGAAACAATATATTATCTAGGTAAGCAGAACTTTTTAATGTGTATCTGACCTGGAAGTCTTAACATGTGACTCAAGTTTTTTATTACTGGAAAGATAAGTATTAGCAATTAAATATGTTTTGATTGCATTTAAAAATATGATTATTATAAACAGCTGACTGCTACTGTAACTTTAGGCTGGAGCCAAAAAAACTAGGTAACTGCAAAATCCATGTGGGACAAGCAAAAGGCTATGCAATTTGCATGGCATGGATTTTAATTGTTTATGTATTTTTTAAATAACATAAACTGTTCATAAAACTGCTTGTACCACTTCACCTATCTGTTTTGCCCTGCTGCTACTAGATTTGGTTAAAACTGAAATCTGCTTAAAGATGAATAGCAGTATATGACTTTCCTCTGATAGTATAAATTTAAACTTTCTTACCCTGGACAATTTTATTATGATTAGCTAAGTTGTCAGTATTGTATGTACCCATGATTAGATAACTACTGCCTGGTTTCTTCAAACTGTATAAAAGATTTAGGTGTTAATGTGAAAAGAGATTGCTGCTGAAGTTTTTATTCCTTACAGGAAAGTCTCTAAAGTACTTGGTAGATTTGCAATTCTCAGTGGTTTTCTGCACATTAAATCTTTACATCCTTGATAAAAGAACTTGAAAAAGAAGCAAAATTACTCTATGTTATTTCAGAGTCAGAATTGAGGACAAAACCTAGGCGTTCTGACAGGATGCATCAGTTATTGCTTTAATGGACTCTGCTTTTGGATGTAGCAGCCAGCTGTGATTGTCCATTACGAGGTAATCTTGTTGAGGGTAGAATGAAAGCCACTGGTTCTGATTTCAGGCTTAATAGTTCAATTACATCTCCTTTATTTACAGAGAAACAGCATTTCAAAAGAGAATTGTTCGTACCACTGGGAGAATCTTAAAACTGCCATTAGACTTATATGTCAGATCTTTAGGGAATGCTTTGAATAACATGGGAGGCTTTAGCCTGTTCAAAAGATACCTGTCACTGAGCAATATCTGGTTGTTCTTCCTGCATTTAACAGGGTGCCTGTGGGGCAGGACCTGTTGCTCTAGTTTATATAAAGCCTGTTTATTGTCTCATGTCTTTAGTCTGGTGTATCTATCTGGCCATATGTATCCCAAAGTCCTTTGTCTTTCCTATTGCTTATTGTTATCAGACCCAGCTATTCCTTACTAAAACATCAAAGGTTTCATGCCAAATATTAAATTATTCCTACTTGTTATGCAAAACACATATCACAGCTTTCTTGCACTCCTTAATTCTTAGGATAAAATCACTAATGGTGTGTGATCTATATGGGTCAAGGCTTCTCCTTGCTATTTTCAAATTTCTTTTCAGAACTTTTCAGCTCTATTGTTACTCCTACAGAGGGGATTCAAGTGGCATGTGCCCAAAGGATCTGAGATAAATTCTTCTCCTTTGCTCAAGATAGAGGGGATTTAACAACTATTTCTTGTGAACTTGATCATCAGAGGGTTGATAAAAAAGTCACCAAACCCAGGAAACACAAGGCTGTATTGGAACAGTGCTGGAGGTTGTAGTGGGGAAGTACCTTGATGGAGCATATTGTCTGGTTGATTATATTCAAATTACGTTCCATTTTCTACTTGTGTTAATGTAATCAGAAGATGTGGTAGTTTCATGTGTGTTAAATCTCTATCTACGATTACAAGTCTGTTTAACTTTCAACAATAACACCAGAGTCTCTAGAACTTTTTGCCCTTCTTCCTTTGCCAAAATGCAGAATTGGAGTAGAGGGGAGCGAGGGACAAGAGTGGGTTTAATTCCTGTGAGGCGAAAGTCATTTAACAGAAAGTAAAGTCCTGCCTTTATCAGTATGAGCTGTCATGAGGTGAGATCTAAAGTTATGTATAAATTCTGAATTAGTAAACTATTTTCAACTTTTGCATTTGGGCATACTTGAGAAGATTTGCCAAGCAAAAAAACCCATGTTTGTTGTTCTGTTGTATAGTGTCCACTCACATTGTTTGTTGGAGCCAAAATATTTAATTATTTCAGTATGGGCAAAAGTTATGTTGCTTGGAAAGCAGCTACGTATTTCCCACTGCACCAAAGCTAACTAAGCATGTTTTGTGACCATCTTTGTTCCTCCAGCTGGGATGCATGTAGCGCATTCAGGCTTATTGCAGGCATAAAGTAACTTAAAAGACTGGACTATAGATCATAGATAATTGTGTGCTAATTGCCGATAGCTGCATGTAAATAAGGACAGGAAGAGGGTGGCAGCTTTGTCTGGAGAATGATCTGTGGTTCTCTATACAAAGAGTTTGTATAACAGAGAGCTGTCCATCTCTCCCCCAAAATGTTAGCTGCCTGGGTGTGAAGGGCCGCTGAGTGCTGCTCAGTCCAGCAGCTTCTTCCTCTCAGATCTGGGCCCCCTTCACACCTCCGGACCTCAGATGCTGGCAGATTTTAACACAACTGTGTGTACTGGGAAACTGAGCTCATTAGATCAGACCGAAGGTGGAGTAATGCAGTGAGATAATGGCCCTGTGACAATGAAAACAGATACTTCACTGTGTCTCTTATGAGATCAGTTGCACTGTGAAGAAACAACTGAAAAAAAAAAAACAAACCAAAAAATCCAGCTGCGCTTATGGAATAGAAAATGACTGGAGAACTGATGTTTGGTATAACGTTTAGGCAGTGGAAGAAGTCAAGCCATCTTTTCGGGGATAATATATAACAGCTTGTGTTTGTGAGATATTTTGGATGTCATTTGGGACTTTTAGGAAGTTCATCCGCAGACCACAGCAGAAATGAGTGATGTTACTTTAATTGGTCTCTATTCAGATGAACTCTTGTGATCCACTATAGCTGCACAAGTAATTTTTTTTTTTTTTTTTGGAAGGGAGGTGGCATTGTGTGTTTAGTCGCCTGCACTCAACTTGCCTGTTTTAGAGCTACTTCTCATTTGTACACCACTTTCTTATGATAAATGAGTGCCTTGGTGAGAACTCTGTCCTTTTCTATCCAGAGCCTGTAGGCTTTGGAAAGACACTGTATGCACTTTGAGTTTGCCAGGAGAATAAAAATGTAGTTCTGTACTGTCATTCACTTTCAATGCTTCTCCTTTCATCTTCTATAACAGCTTGTGTGTTGAAAGTGCATTTTTAATTACATTGTTTGCATCTTGTATATGCACAATACATTCATTTGAGGGTATTTTTCTTACAGTAGGAGGATGGTGATATGTAATAAGTCTGAAGAATAATTAAAACCTGTGTTAACTTGTGTATGTTTTCAGCAGTGATTGAACTTTGTGTTGAATCTCTGCTGGGTCCAAGATCAGATCTTAATCAAGTAGAAAGGAAGGAAGGGGTGAGGGGGAAGGAAGAGCTGGTTGTAGTTACATCTATAAGTTCTTGCCAGTTTAAGATAAATGTCACCTGTCATGTTATTTTTTTTTTTTAAAGTATATTGCCTCCAATTTTTTAGGTGTTTGCTCAAGATAGTTTTTGTGTATAACACTTACTAAGAGAGAAAGAGGGAAAGTGTGATAATGTTATGAATTAACGTTTGGAGGTATCTTCAGCCCTCCTGTATATGGATGGAGCCTCAGAGTTCTGTTCAGTGTTTAATTGAAGGGAAAAAAGCGGAGTAACCCGGGAAGGCTTTAACTGCATCATGATGTGACAGAGTAAAGATTTAAATAACTGGAGATTTCCAGGAGAGTATATGGTAAATTGTTTCTTTTCTTTTACCTCAGAGAGGTAGAAATGCATGCCAGAATCGTCCAGATGCATGGTTTGAATCTGAACTTTCACTTTCTGCACTAAATAGTAATTATTTTTTTATCAATTCGTTTTCTACAGTGTAGTTTTAGAAAAGGGGGGGAAGCTGGTTCTTCCCAGTCCCTTCCTGCAAAAGGTGAAGGCAGTTAAGCATTCTTGAGCACCTGAAGACCCCAGCAGCTGTTAAAAAATTGACTTGCAGAACCTGTGGAAATGCTAATGACCTCGCTTACTTCCCTGAAACATTATTAACGAGTGCTTTGCATTCATCACGGCATACTATATTCAAATGTGAGATGAGAAAAGGGCTGATTCAAGGACAATGATTGGAATCCTATTGCATAACATGCTTTGAGAAAGTGTTCATTTCTCTGTCTTTGAAAAGTGTGGTTTTACTGTTGGCTTGTAGATGGTTTGACTTTGCCAGAGACAGCAGGTGAATTAACATGAATCGCACTAGCTTCACCAAGGATTCTGTGACATCCTGCTCATACCCAGGTCAAGCTGAGGCATGTAACAAGTGTTTTGAAATGGATAGTAGTTCTGAAGATGTCCCTAATATTAAACCAAATTCAAGATCTGCACTGGAGGTTAAATGCTAGTTCAGTCTGGAAGAGTATATTTGATCTCTGGAAGATATCTATTTGGTTTGATCTGGTAAATCAAGTAAAAGTTTATCTAATTAAAACTCCTTGTTTAAATGTCAGAGCACTTGCATTATTTTTTCTTGTGTGAAGCAAGTTTTTAGTATTTCATAAAATTATTTTTAGTGAATATACTAGGCTTGCCTTCAGAAAAAACTTGATTACTTTTCAAAGTATGAACAAAGGGTGAAAACTTGAGAGGGACAAACATTTCTTTTTTAGGCTGCCAGCATTTTCCAAGGTTGACTGTAAACTGTTTCCTTACAGATTGTATCAGATGCTGCTGGAGAGGGGGTTGCCATCACTGGGAACAATACTTTCAACAACTGGAATTGGCCTAACGCTGTGATCTTTGCTGCTACTGTAATCACTACAATCGGTAAGTATTTACCATGTCAACTTTCCTAACTGTTGCCTAAATTACAGGTTCATAGAAGGAAAAAAATGAGTTTTTTGGCACTCCCTCCATAGGCATACAGAAAAGTGTGCCTTTCCAATAAGTAATGAATTTAAGGTGCTGTTGGGGGTGACGGGTGTCATTCCAGTTCCATTGATTCATGCACTCAAATTTCCAAATCATAAAATCCCAAACCGAAAGCATAACAAAGCATTCCATTAAACTAATGCTTAAAGCGAGTGCATATGAGGTTTTTGTACAGCAGTCCTGTACATCCAGACAAGGCTGGATGTATACAGAAATAGAAGTCTTACTGTTAAATCATATGCAGCACTGTGGTTTATTATTTGAAACTCACAATACCCAGCTTATAATATAACTTATGACAAAACGTTGAAGAATAACACACCTAAATAAGAAAGCTCTGGCAGAAGTTCAGAAAATATGTTGCTGATTTTAGAGCCTGAGTCTGTAATGCCCTGTTGGGTTCTGTGACCAGCAAAGAACTAAATTCAGTTGACATACCTTGCACTTCCTTGCTTTGCACTTAACTCACAAGCTCTTCCCCTGCCAAGGTACTAGGTGATCACAAGATAAATGTATAGTTTTTAACAGTGCTGCTTAAGGTTGGGGGATCATACTAGAAGTTTTAAGGTGAGTTTTTTTTCATATTTATCCCATCTTGTCAAGAAAATGATGCACAAAATCTAAGAAACACTTGAAGTGCAGTAACCCTCTCAGCTTGCATTAATGGAATATATGTTTGCTAGAATAGAACTGGAAGGCATCCAGAAGATCAGCATCTGGAGTAAACTAAAGCTCTTATAGGTGAAATAAGGAGTGTCTGATACAGCAGGAGCCCAAATAATGTTTTGTGCTTAGGTAGAATTGCCTTGAATTCTCTTCAACAAGAACAGACTGAGCACATACTTATCTCTTTTAGGTTATGGAAATGTTTCTCCAAAGACACCCTCTGGGCGTCTCTTCTGCATATTTTATGGGCTTTTTGGAGTTCCTCTCTGCTTGACGTGGATCAGTGCTCTGGGGAAGTTCTTTGGAGGACGTGCCAAGAGGCTGGGCCAGTTTCTGACGAAAAGAGGAGTGAGCCTGGTAAGGCTCTTAGTTGTTTACCCTTGAACTATGTATTTTTGATGCATGAATTAAGCTTACATTTCTTAAGTTACCTGCTCATCTTGTAAATGAACACTTGCACAAATATGAATTTTCCCGAATCGTGTTGAATAGAAATAACTGAAAGGAGGGTTGGGTCTGATGAGTTAGTTATGCAAGAAGTTTTAGCAAATGAAGTTTCATAGAAACCTTTAGTACTAACTAAGTGTTTCTCCTTACATTAGAAACATTTAGGACAAATGTAGGTGAGGCTTCATTTCACAGGCATTTCAATCAAGCCCCTTGGGCACAGAAATAAGCTGTCCTGCTTTGTTCCCACCTGCCTGTATGCTACCGTGAGTACTTCCTGCTGTGCAGTGAACCAACTGGAAAATAACAGTTTTGTTCTGAGTTACTGGCTTGTGGGTTTTTTGTTTGTGGCATTTTGTTGTTTTTTTGGTGGAGGTTTGTTGGTTTTTTTTCCTCTCCCTCCTCTATTCTGAGTGAGTTCCCAGTTCTAACTCTACACAGAAATGGGAGGCAATGCAGAGCCATAGTGCCTGGAGGACAGTGGGACTGGTTTGGGTCCTGGTTTTAGGAACAGAGCAAGAACTGAGAGGCAAGTACAGGAAACAATAGTGAAATGCATGTGTACATGCAGGTTTGTACAGAGGTTGCATGAGTGGCAAAGGGAAGGAGGCAGAAATCGGAGAGAAGCATCTTAATACATTTCTGATCTTCTATATTCAAATGAATAAAAGGAAAGTTAGAGGTATTGACTGCTTTTTAGACTAGAGCACTATGTCCATATGCCATGCCTGTTTATAAAATACCAGGAACTCCTTAAACTTTCCATGAGTGTGAAAAAAAGCTATAAGGAAATAATCCTTTTTGAGCAAGTAGTTGTAAGAATAGGGAGTTCTACCTAAAGGGGAAAAAAAAAAAAGGTATGTTTACTTCAGTCACTTTTAGTGACTTTTAATTATGGTAGCTAAATGGTTAGCACAAAAATCTGAAATGTCTGCTACTGTCAGATAATTCTTGGTGCCACGGATGGGAAAAGAAAATTTTGAGATCTTTCGCTGACTTTTTTTGTCTTTTTCTTTACAGAGGAAAGCACAAATTACGTGCACGGCTATTTTCATTGTTTGGGGTGTCTTGGTCCATCTGGTTATTCCTCCATTTGTCTTTATGGTGACTGAAGGATGGAATTACATTGAAGGCCTCTATTTCTCCTTCATCACTATCACCACCATAGGATTTGGAGATTTTGTTGCTGGTCAGTAATTGTATTTTATGTAGTATATTATTACATGCATAGTGTGGCAATTCTGTTTGAAAACTCTAATTTGAAAAGATATTTTCTAAGCTTTTCCAGAACATTTTGCTGAATAGAACATTCAATTAAAGTTGGATACTGATCCAATGGGCTAGATCTGGCTCTTCAATCTTGGTTTAGATACCTAAGGCCTTTACTGGGCTAAGTCTGCAACCAAGCTCTAGAGTTTGTAAGTCTTTCAGGTCCCCTAGGTCTGTATGTCAGGCAAAGAGATATCCTATTCACCATGATAGTTATGCACCTTTGGATAGGATCCAGTATCCTAGGCAGGATGTGTAGATACTGGGCAATGCAGCTGTCTAGAACTAATCAATGGGAAATGCTGAGCATACTCGTGCCTCCCTCCTAAACCTTTTCTTTGTCTAAAATCCACTGCTTTGTCCAGGGCTTTGGAGGTGGTCCTTATAAATGAAAATCTGAATCTTTTTCTCAAGGTAGGTACATATACACACACCTCAGTGGCAGGGATAAGACTTGTAATTTTCAACCAGGAAAATATTCCCTTTTATAGTTTATAAGGAAAGGATAAATATGCTGCCAGGGCTTTTTTGTTTGTCCAGTGGCCAGAATACATGCGGCCAAGGGATGTGGGAGACATGGGATTAACTTCTTCTTTCAGAAAACTCTCAGATCCCTACTTGCTACCTCTCAGACCAGTGTTCAAACAACTAGGCTCTATTAGTGTGGAAGGGAGTAATTCTCAGGGTCATAACTTCAAAGGTTTATCAGCTGTGAGTCTTCTTTCAGTAATGTTTTTGTTTTTACTTCCTTGTAGGTGTAAATCCAGATGCAAACTATCATGCCCTTTACAGATATTTTGTGGAGTTATGGATATATCTGGGATTAGCTTGGCTTTCGCTCTTTGTTAACTGGAAGGTCAGTATGTTTGTGGAAGTCCACAAAGCAATCAAGAAACGGAGGAAAAAAAGAAAAGAGTCATTTGACAACCATCCTCGGTCTAAAAAACCCCTTCAAATGGGTACCTCAAAGGATGTCAACATTTTCAGCTTTCTTTCAAAGAAGGAAGAGACCTACAATGATCTTATAAAGCAAATTGGGAAGAAGGCCCTGAAAACAAACAATGACAAAATGATTATAGTCGAAAATGCCAAACAAATGAATGCTAGTATAGATGTTCAGGTGACTTACACAAAGACAGAGTCATTTGAGTATGATGAGGCTTCCCTGGACATTCAAAATGGTCATGCACTGAGACCCCTGCATGATAAACGTATTGGAGACAGCCCTTTAGAAGGAACCATGTTTGTAAACCAGCTGGACAGGATTAGTGAAGAAGAAGGCGAAGTGTGGGATTCCAGAGACTATCGACCCTTAATATTTGAGAATGCCAATATAACATTTGTAAATGAAGATGACGATGAAGAGGAAGATATCTCAGATGATGAAGAAACGTCAAAATCCTCCATGGATGATAATCTTGCAGAGGAATCTGAAACTGCAAAAAAACTGGTAAAATTCCCATCCTCAGATGAATCTACCTTTACCAATAATGAGCTAGAACTTTCTGTGCCTTATGAACAACTGATGAATGAATATAATACAGTAAGCAATGCGAAGGCTGCCACGTGAATCTTGTTTGACAATGGTTTTTTGAAAGTGGTCAGTACATAAAGAACATATAGCAGAGCAAGGAGAAAAGTATGTTTTTACAGCATCTCCTATCTCTTTGAAAACAAAAGCAAGTCCCAAACTAAGAAACTCCAGCTTCCATTTCCCATCATAAATTGGCTTCTGAGCCCATCAGCTTTGCTTTTCTGAAAAACCTGTAAAATAACAGTTGAATTTGGAGTCCCACTCCTTCTTGGGATTTTATGGTTCTTGAACAACGTAGGAAAAATGACTGGTTAATACACTGGACCTGCTCTGGGTTCATGCATTTCATTGAGGAATTGGTTTGAGAGTGTAACTATACTGTGGCTCAGAGACTGTTTTGAGCATCAAATGTGTTCGGTTACTCCATTAGCCTTTCAATTCTGAAAATCTGGACTTGAATCCTGCTTTGATCACAAATGAAATCAAAGGGGTTGCCTGGCCGTACCTAGCAAGAAACTTTAGATGGGGTAGCAGGACACACAGATCTGAGCTGAGGTGCACTGGCAGACTGAGAAGGAAGCTTCTGAAACATCTGTCTAGAATATGTCAGTGCTTCTTGAATTATAGTGAATTCTAATTTCATAAATAAAATATTAAGATGAAAAATTCCAAAGGAATGGATTGAGAAGGAGCCCTCTAACAAGGAAGAATCACCCTCTAACAAGGAAGAATCATCTAGGAGGAAGCTTACCAATTGGGCTGCTAAACTGCACATCAGCCCCAGAACTGTTAGAGTGAAGTGACTGGAAGACTTATTGATCAAAGCATGTATGAGCACAAGCAGGATGCAATGAACTTTTTTAATGTTGAAAGTGTCCTTCCACTGTCCATTTCCTAAAGGAAATACTTGAATGAACCTTATACAGTATCTATGTACAGGTGAAGTTTTATTGACACTGTTCGTATTAGGAAAAAATCACCTTGGGAGGCACAGATATTTTCCAAATGCCATAATGCCTGTCAGAAGGGATCTGTAGCACTGCTGCTGATCTGTGCAGTGTGTTAGTCAGTATTGTTGTTTGATGTTCCTCCCTGCCTTGGTACTTCAGACTAGACTTGAATGGGAGATGATTTTTTTAACAGTTGATTACACTTCACATCTTTAAAGGTTTTTTTAGAGTTTGACATGTGTGCATATACAATGGTTATTCTATCCCACTTTAAAGAAGGTTGGGCATTATCAAACCTTGGGCAAACTAAGATGTGATCAAATGACTTCAGGCCATAAGGCACTTTTTTTAAAAGGAACTTTGGCTCTAAGCTTCTGAAAGTATTATCTTTTGACTTGGAGATGGGCTATTCATTAAGAGGAAATATGTCTGTTCATAGTATTTATGCCCAAATTGTTTTGGCTCCAAAGAAAATTTTACCATGGTTTTATTTTTCTTTCTTTTTCCATATCTGTGCATTAACCCTGACAACTCTTCCAAATGAGGCTCTTGATTACATGTTGGCAAAAGGTACTGACTTTAGCTGTATCCAACATACTTGGAACAAAAAATAGCTAAGACCTTTGAACCTTAACATGTCATGTTCTGCTGTTCTGTTTAGAGTATTTAAGTCATTCCAGTATGTCCGAAATTTTCTAAAATTCAGTGAACAGTTAAAAGTTGTCTCATTCTCATTTTCAGTGTAATGCTGTCAGACTTACTAGCTCTGTAAGAAAAGCCTATGGAATCTTGCAAAGCCAATCCTGAATTGCTAGCTACTTCTAATGACTGCAAATGTTGTCTGCATCTGGCCTCTTCAACAGAAGAAGGAGGATATGTGGGAAACTGGCACTTTGGTTGGATAGTGTTTTGATGGGAGGTTTTGAAGTCATCTACTGAGAAATGAGGGACTGTCATTACTAATATTTTTTTTTCCTGGAATTTTCCACGTATATGACATTTTTTCAAATAGTAAAGTGAACACAAGGCTAAGACCAACTCTGTTATACTACAAAAATGTGGGATCAACGTAATTGGATATGGTAGTTAATCTGTAATTTATGATAGTATTGCTGAAGAGAGAATTCTCTTTTGAAAACAAATTTTATTATATTAATGCAATTTGGAGCAGGGCTGCTTGGATGTATTTACTTGTATCTGACAAGAAAAAGGGAGAGGCCGTATCAAGAAGATTCTTATTTACTTCTGATAAGTTACCTTCATCCTCACTCTTAAGATGACTCCAGGCCCTTCAAGTATTTGTATATATCTGAAGGATTGTGGTTGACAGCTATACCTTGTAACTGTAAGAAATGGTAGGTAAGACTACATGTATGATGCACAGAATGCTTGTGTAGCAAGTCTAGCCTTCTCTTTTTTTTATATTTTTTGTTTTAAAAAGTGCATATTAACTTAAAAGTATATGAGAAAGCACTCCATATAGCTTTTGCTGTCCTCCAGCTTATCTTCCGTTATTGATGCGAAGATTAAAGTTTTAGTAACAATTAAAAAGTTACAGGACAATGAGGAGAGAAAAGACTTGCTGAAAGTGCGTGAAATGGAAAAACATAGTCCAATCTTTATTTAAAAAAAACCAAAAAATTCTCTTTAATACAGAAATAATACAACCCAGACACTTGGCTGGGCTGCTTTCATGGGAGGGGATGTTGCACACTGGAACTCAGACCGTTCTCCATAGCGAAGTGCACTTGTACGCCAGAGCTGAGAATAGATGGGATCTGTTTCATATTATCAAGCTAGATGTGGCTCTCTGGCCTTTCCCAGTGTAGTCAGCACAGACTGTAAGTCAGCATAATAAGTATCATGGGATTTAAAGTAATAGTTTAAATTTATTAAAACAAAGTACAATATTCCCACTTTTTTGGGGAAACATGATCACACCTCACAAAACTGTTCTCAAGATATCCCACCATGTGCCTTAATGTAATCGTAACACTGGGAAAAAATTCCTTTTTACACAGGGGCCGACACAATTGGTCTCATTAAGCCCTACTTGTTTCAGCATTTTGGAGGGGTTTAGTTGGTGCGTAGCTTTCATACTGGCTCTCTCCAGAAGTTGAACCATTCCCAGGGATTTTAAAATTATGGTGCCATCTCAGAACTGCCGAAGTGCTAAGCAGGACAGCTTTTTTTTGCCTGTCTTCCATGTCTTGAGAAAAGCAGCTGCCTGGGGGATCTAAATTAATGCCTTTCTGCCTTCAGATTAACATGTAGAGACTTGAAGGGGTGTCCAGGCTGGGTTTTGATCTAATCAGCCTCAGAAGTGCCTCTGAGTGAATTCCTAGTACTACTTGGTTATGTCTTGTAATTATTTCAATTATCTGGTCAATCTGGAAGGATTTTCTTTGGATGTCAGTTAAGATTTCATTTGGCTAACTAATAACATTAACACTTTTCTTGATGCTGTGGAGTTGGTTTTATAGGTGAAACGGATCTCTTCCTGGAAAGAGAGGAAAGGGGGATTTTTAAAAAAGAAAGAGAAAAAGCTTAAAAGCACATATAAGGAAGGGATGGAATGGCAGTGGAAACTCTTCTACCTGTTGCCTACAAGTAGGTTGTATTTCCAGTCACATCCTGTGAAAGATGGGTCTACTTACTAATTTTGCGAAGATGAGCCAGTACTTTAAATTTATTTTTTTTCAAAAATTAAAAAATCCTGAAATGTGACCACAGAAGTCTGTTCTTACAAAAGACCTTTTAAGTGCTGTAGACGGTGTGACCCCATCCTTCGTGACATCATTGTGATGCTTCTTGGTTTTGTATTGTGTTATTGAAGCCTCTTTTTACCAGAAGGGCATCATTTTCAGATACCTGTCTTGCATCAGGCAATCTAACACATCTGATACACTGGTACGAAATCACTGAGGAAATACAAAATTGGAGTGTTAAATTTTTCTGAACTAATGATTCGTGAATCTGTTGCTGGCAATGGATATCACAGAACATGCGGAAGTAAAACCAGACTGATAACAGATCCCTGGTGACACATTTGTATATGTTGGGATTTTATATTTCCTCCAGTTGATCTGGGAGAGCATGTAGAGACAGACAAGCACCAATGATGAGGAGAGCAAAAAGCAATATACAAGTCTGTTGACCTAAACAAAAGAATTCTGTTTTAGACTTGTAATTTTTGTGCCTTGTCGGATTCATTCCATTTGTGATGGACTTAACTTTTAAAAATCAGCTTGTCTTTCATATGGCTTTTGAAGTTTGTACAGTTCTGACTCTTATCACTCCATAATATGCCTGTCTGTCTGTTCTTTGTTGCTGATTGTCACTGGAATCACACTGTATGTAAATATTTGCTAAGTCTTTGTAAAATGTAATTTATTTTAATATTTTGCAATAAAAATTTTACAATTTATCCTCTGTGTCATGAGAAGAATGGTAATCAAGATTTCTTTTTACAACTACCTGCACTTGTAATGCACCTCACAAATGAGACTGGTCCTGGTCCAAAGAGCTGGAAGATAAGGAGCCAAAAAAGCAAGTTGTTTTATGCAAGCAGATGTCTGATCTTATTGATGACTTCAGTTCAGTGGCATCTGGTCTTCAGTTAGATACAGCATAGCAAAATATTATTCGATGTGGATTTTGGACAGCTGTTAAAAGATAAACTGGAGTTTATTTTAGGGGCTGTATTTTATTAGGGAGGCTGCTTTTAAAGAAGATGCACTGAGATGGGAAGCGTTAATCAATATTGCGATAAAATAAAATGGACATTTATGACTGCAGTCTGAATCTTAGGCTAGAGCTATTAAAATATCTGAATAGCTGTTTATGAATTTTCACAAGATTTCTAGTAGCAGTGCTTACCATTTTGCAGGCTAGAAGTATTTGCAGTCTTTCAACTCCAGCAGTTTCCTTAAAACACATTGGAAAATAGCTAAATACCTGCTTTAATGGGCAGCAAAATATGACTTTGTGATACCTATGATAGAGATGGAGCCATCTGAAGAAACTGGGACAACCTCAGCCTGAGGAGGAAGAGACTGAACCTTAGCTTTTCAGCAACTGAGTTACATTGATGAAGCATGAGTTAGGAAAGAGGGGAGTCCCATGCGCACAGGAGGGAAGGGTAGGTGCTGTCTTGATTCGGATCAGGATAGCCGATCTCTACACTTTCCTCCAGCTCCACAACAGAGGCACAATGAAGGAGGAAGACGTGCCTGACTGGTGATTGATGCCAAAAAGAGCCAATGAGGGAGTTGGGGTCTCCTCATGGAGCTGAGGGCAGGACATAGCACAGAGTCTGGTAAGCACTCAGTAACATTTCTGTTGGCTCCCAGCAAGTTTGAGCCCACAGACTATTGTTCACCTTCTGCCCTCGGTATTTTAGCAGTGTTATTAATTTATAGGGGGTAGAGTAGTAAGAAGTAGGAAAACAGGACAAACCTGTATCTGTTATATGCCTGTTCTTATAGTCCATGCATGGCTGTGGGTTCCTCTGAACACAATAGCTTAATAGATAAAATCACAGGCCAGCTGACACTTAAAAAACCTGAAATCTTTTCACTAAATGTTTATCATGGGCCTTTACAATGCACGGTGCAACATGATACCAGCAACCTGAAGCTCATGGACATGCAGAACTCCTAACCTTTAGTTGTGGGAGATGAAGACAGTGATAGAGCAGGAAGAGTTGCTACTCAGGACTGTTTTGCATAGAAAAATACTACTTCACTCCCTTCAGGGCAATTTCCTGTACCTGGACCTAGGTCCTGAATAACCCATAAAATATCTCTCTTGACCCTTATGCAAGGAGGTGGTGGAGATCTGTTGCCTATAGTTTGAGCAGGAAGATTTTTCTTTTTAAATTCATGACTTGTACCTTGTGCCTTTTTTTTTTTAAGCAAGATTTGAGTGCTTTTTTGGTTTTTGATTTTTCTTTTTAAAAACCTTTTTTTAGCCTCAACCTCCCCTTGGTAAGATAACTAATACTGTGATCTCTAGAAATAAAAGGTTGTGCTGAGTACAACACTTCAGATTTTTACTTCCTTTTGTTTCTTAGAGAGCTCCCTTGACCTGCACACAGACTGGGCCTTTTCCACACACCCTGCCTGGCTTTACAGTATGATTGGGTGCTGTGGCTTCCTTGCAGCTCCATGTCTGAGGAACAATGGGAAGTGATGGGTGAGTGGGAGCACACCTAGCCCTGCCAGGGGTCAGTTATTTCGTTGAGAGCAAACCTATGGCCTTAACTCTCCCTGGCAGGCCCTTAGCTCTCCACTAAAACTTGTGGATCACCTACAGATCTTGTGGGATACTTGAAGGGGTGGCTAAGGAATTGCTTTTCACTTTTCTATTGGCAAATACCTTCTTCCATGCAGCTAATACAAATCCTTCTGACTCGCAGCACGCTGGCAAAGTCTTAGGAAAAAAGGGCAGCACTACTGCCTTTTAGTACCTTGATTTTCCTCCCATCTCCCAAGAAAAATGGACTCATCAGGGGTGGGGGTTTTTTTCTGGGGAGGTGATATTTTGTGGAAAAACAATAGGTGTCCAAGCAGGTGGTTTGTGTCTTGAGATGAAAAAAAATTCAAGCAGTGGCTATCTTGGACTACACAGCCAGGCTAGCACACTGAGACTGACCATGATTGATAGGAGCATAGAAGTCCAAAATGTAACACCCACAAAGATTCATCTAACTGACCAAGGAAATCTGCTGTTTCCCATCAGAAGGGCTTCTCTGGAAAGGGAGGGTTGATGTGGACTGGGATGCTGGAGGCATTATCCTGTACACAGAGAGGCTCCTTGAAAGCCAGGTAGCATGTTGTAGCTGGGAGGGCTTCCTCTGATGGCCAAGCTTCCATGTACAGCCCATAACCAGAACTCCTTCTAGTTAAAAAAAAATCAGTGCATATATGAAAACTATATTGACATATGAGAAATGTTCTGATGGAAATGTTTTAATAATCAGTTTGGATTTTACAAGTTGAACTGAAACAACTGTGAATTCAAAGAGTTGTGGTTTTCTATTTTTAGGTATTTTTTATAGGATGCCAGAAGTTCTCTCCCTATTGTCACTCCTTGCTGCTCATAGGAAAGAGTAGAAGAAAGATGATAACAACTCACTCTTCATATTTTGAGGGTTGTGTTGTTTCTTACATGGAGGAAGCTGTGGAAAACACATCCTTTTCTCCTTACTGGAGTGGGACTGTGAATGAGAAAGAAAGCAGTACAAAAAACCTGAAAATAAGAATTCTGAAATTGGGGTGAGGAAGTTAAAACACAAAATATCTGAAGTACAAGTTAATATTTTTCCCACAGACATTCTTTGAAATTTCCCATGCTAACCTTTAATAACATTCTTTTGGCTACTCTCCTAAATATGCTAAACAAAAGCACTTGTGTTTTCAAATTAGACTACGCATTATTAATTCAAGTAAAAAGCAAGTACTTTGACATACTTTTAATCTTATTTGAATATAAAAGTTGTCTGTGGCACAGTAATATGCTTTTTAATTGTAAGGAGAATTAATGCACTCTGTATGAATGACCAAAAGCAAAAAAATTCCTGTTCAAGGCCTGTCGACAGCTTTGCACTGTTCTGTGGACTTTTGGCTTTGGACATTTGTTGATCACATTTTTGTTTATCTAGTTAAATTTTGGGTGTATAAGGAGGTATCATAATTACTAATGCTGCTAAGATCAGAGACAAAAATCCTCTCCTGTGCTTATTTGTGGGTTGGGCACTATCCATACCAACCAAAATAAACTGGGTGCAGAGGAGCACTTGTTCCTACATACTGCTGGTTGCTGGGCAGAACTGCAAAATATGTGCATGGCAACATGAAATAAACCCATATTCATGTTGAAATAGAAGTCACAAGCTTCTGAAACTAGAGGATAAGTGTTTATTCATAAAGCTCTGCTGTCCTTCGCTGGCAACCTTCATATTTGGGCTTATCGGTTGTACGTTGGCAGTTAGCAAAGAGTAAAGGAACAAACCAAGACTTCAGATGCAGACAACCTCTTTTGATTTATTCTATTCCTCTTAGCCTGGGATTTTTGCCAACTCCATCTCTGGCACGACTGGAAAGGAAGGAAAAGTAGTAAGCTAATTGGCCTGCTTTTTAATTGCAGATTAGGATGGGAAATGAATGCATAAGCGTGAGTGAGAAACATGCCTTGGACATCTGAGAGGGACACTGCACTCTTTGGCTGGTTTTGTGCCTCTTAGTTTCTTATAAATGGTAGAAAATGGGTGGCTTAAAGAGAGAAAGGCTTGCAATGGGGGCTTTCTTTCACACAGTGAAGAAGACTCAGGCTTTAAGATTTTTTTCTGTGCTGCATTTCTTCAGAAAGTGAAATTCTCTAATGTCAAATATCACACTACACTCTGAGATATATGACAGGGACCAGATAAAGGCAAGAAAGTAAAGCAAATACCTATTTTAAAACCTTAACCTTCAAGTTTTCTGTAGTTCTGTGGTGCAAGCTCTCCATCCTTTATAGCTGCTTTACATTGAGAAGAGAGCCTGACATTTAGCCCTAACTCTGGTACCCCAGCATGTCACTCAGGCAAAGTTAAAGGAAGATGGTTCTGAATTGAGAAAAAATTAAAGAGATAAAATTTGTATCAAGTACAGGAAGAAATCAGAGACCCAAAACTACAGTAGCTGAGGAAACTGTTATTTGTGGGGAGATTTGCTCTAAAACACTAGGAAATTAGTTTTCTGGCAAATAATTTCAAGTGGTTTTCTGAAGATGCTGTCTGGCCAAGTACTATTGATGTCTCTGTGGGAGTTTAATTCTATGATGTTTATCAGTAGATGCAAAGTATAATATTATGGAGGCATAACAGCTGAAAGCTGCAAAATCTGCAGGAAAGAATTGGCTGCCTTTTAAAATGTGTAGGCTTGAGACAGGCTTCTTTCAGAGAATGCAATGAAAATAAAAAATAAGGTGGAGATGGACTGAAGCTCTAGCTGGCCTTTATTTAAGAGCTTCTGATCCCACATATTACTGTGCCTGCAAGTGCTATGTGGTTTTGGAAACTCTTGGGATAAACTTAGCTTCCTCTGACACAGAGAGGGAGGAAAAGACTTTGGGGTTAACACAGTTTATTTACTGAAAAATCACCGTTCTTCAAAGTAACAACAACAAGACTCAGGATGGGGAGAACTGTGACTGGTTTCAAACACACATTCTACTCAGACCTATGCAGTTATGACCCAACTAATTTTTCAAGGAAGGATACCACTTCCACCCCTTTTGTCTATATCTTCTGGCTCTCACTGCTTTTCTCCTTGTTTATATGCCTTAATGTTCCCTTTCCTCAGCTACTAACATCTGTCCCATTCCAGTTCCTGTGGCTCCCTAGGAACATCATGACTGCCTGCAGGCAGGACACAGCAGCC